AAATCATTGCTTCATTAGAAATTCACCCCTATTTGTAATAAGACTCCCAATTCTCATTGCATTTTAATAGAACTTATGAAACAGGGACTTACCCACTATGCCAAATAATACATTCTACCTTTTTTTCTTACAACGTGTTTCTTGCAATGACTTGAGCTGCAAGGTTTGTATTTGCCAGACCCTATATGATGATGTTGAAACTTCACACTATGTAAAATAACGCAACTTTGAGGTCTGCATGAACTTTAAGGTGAATTTTGCAGACAAATTCAATTCTTTTTGACCTAAGTATAAATTTGAACACAGTCTCCTCGCAGGATACATTGAACAAGCTAGATTAGGTATTTATATTTCAATAGCCTTATTTCATTTTCTTCAGCTGCTTTGGATTTAATTTTCAGCTAAGATGAAGAGCAACACAAGAATTAAAATGGTTTCCGTTGGCCGGATTTTAATCCCAAATTTTGGGACATCCAATATTTGGCTCATCTGCCATTCATTCTGATCACTGCAAAACAATAGGTTCAGCTGTCTGCAGTTCTGAAGAGATCAACCTCAAAAAGGAAGTCATGTTTCCAGTGAATAGATGTCATCCCTATAGCATTCACCCTTGTCATACACTGTCCATAACATATGCTGTATATTTAATACATCTTTTAAAGAAGGAAATGTTATTTTAATTTGCATGTGGGAAGGCTTCATCAAGCCTGTTCCTTTATTGCAACAGCTTGTGCTGGTAGCAGCAAAGTGCATGTAATGGTTGGGCACCCAGAAAGGCCAAGCTCCCATTGGTCCCTAAGAGATGGGTTTTGTTAACTCCACATAAAAAGAGCCCAAAATAAATCATAGTGGAAATATAAAGTGTCTGGATTCAGTATCAGATGTGTGTTCCTAACCTGTTTCTAACACGGCCAGTGATTTCCTAGGTCAGTTTTAATTGCTGTGTTGCCATGTCTCTCTATTTTACCATATGCAAGAAGCCTTGTAAAGTTATAAATTTAATGGTTACATTTGCTGATGTTTTATCATGATCAGGCTTTAAGGACATGTTCTTAGAAGACTGCTTGACATTGTTTGAGTTCTATTTGGTGTACTGTAAAATAGCAGTTTATCATCACTGGAAATTGAAATCAGCACAAAAGAACTTTTTCAGGCTGTGCTCAACCTGTCTTGAAAAAAAACACTGATCAGATGCACAGGGTTTTTCACTTTCATGGTCCACTCAGCCACAGATATCTAGCATTTTTACATGGCTTCCTTAACTTCAGGGCTTGGTGCTTCTTTGTAGAAAGTGTCTTGATAAATAAAATGATATGTAGTTTCTGATTCTGTGTGTGAAGATAGCAGTCTTTGCACTGCAAATGTTTGTCCCACCAGAATGGCAGGTACTGAGGGTCTGCATTCCTTAGACAACAGCTTGCCCAGGGGGTCAAGTCTCCCAGTATTCTCTAAAAGATTTTCAGGATCAACAGTGAAGTCACACAATATATTGTTTTATTTCATTTCTTTTTGATTGTTTCAAATTGTCCAAATATATGTTGTACTCCATCAAGTCCTATTTTACACAGTCATAAGTCCCCCTTTCCACCAAGGGATGGAGCATGTCCAAATTAGTGTCAAAGCCTATATAATACCTTGGCTACATTGCAGACTTGTATGATATTAGAATCCTGTTTTCACAGCAGTTACATAGTTCTTACTACAGTGAAGATTGATATGGCTCCTTATAAAATCCGCAAGCTGACGTCTGTTTTTTAATGTAATATTTACACTATTCAAGGAGCTAAGAGAAGGATTTGCTTTAATATACTCCTTCAGCTGATGTTTTGCTTCATACAGATGGGTAATTGTTTCCAGCTCTTGCTGCCTTTGTGGTTTTGGGTATTAGGATTTTTTTTTTCCTTCTTTTTATGTCTCCAGGGGCAAGGAAAGGGTTTTGTCGTCGTCGTCATCATCGCCGTCATCAGTTTGCCTGCAGTTTTCTGTGGGGGTCTTCTTTGAGAATCAAATCCCGAAGGTCTCTTTCTTTAAAAGACAAACAGAAAAAAAGTATCTTGTCACCACCCCACAAAAAAATGAGAATTGCATTTCATTTTTGTGTGATCTTCCCTGGTCCGAGAGGGAACGTGGTACAACAATTTCTTACCATGGGGAACAATTACATAATTTTGACAACAAAATATTTTCTCTGATGGCTCTGATGGTACTACTCTACAGAGCAGAAGAAATTCTACTGCAAATTTGTGTCTTCTGTAAAAAAAAAAAAAAAAAAAAAAAAAAAAAAAAAAAGTTGACCAGGTGACTGGCTGTAAATAACTTTGTGTCACTTAATGTTCAGAGGGATTTCAATAAAAATCTATGTTTTCATCTTCAGTAAAAGTATTTTTTTTTACAAAAGTTGTTTTTCTAAAACTTCAAAATAAAGTGTCCAGTTTTAAGTATACAATCATATGTGATCCAAGGAAGCACAGCAAGCATTGACAGCTATAAAATTCTGGTCTGAGCAAGGAGTTTGGAGAGCCATTGAAGTTAGATAGACCTTTTTGCCTTTATGTTAGGTCATTTGCATCTTGGCCAAAAGAGATTCAGATAGGGAAGGTTGTGTAGAGGAACATAAGATAAAACTTTTTAACTTCACCACTAATGAGATTTGCCAAACCAACCCAATACATGAATCAGAGTCATCTCAGTCTTGATTCTGACTGAATGAGGTGAAATTTCTAACCACTTGAGTAGAATGGAAGTCCTGATGGTTAATACAACTGTCTTGATAGTCTTTGGCTTGCATGCCTAAAGTAGACATCTAGAGAAATTAATTATGCTATTATTCCAGTATTTATGCCTTTTTTTTTCCTGAAGAATTTTAGGGAGAAAGAATACTGTAGGTTATTTGGAGAAGAATGGATACAATCAGTCCTTAATTTGTCTATATTTGTTTCTTTATTTGGAGGTCAGAATGCTGGCGAAGAAGGTGTAGGGCACGTGTATTCCACGGTCTGACAGTATTCTTGTAACTTGTACTTTGCAAACAATTATACCTGTCATATGCACTTTTATAATTTATGCAGGGAAAGCTTCCCAAAGGGCATATCGGGACACCTTGAACTTCAGATTGGTGGCTTATGCTGGTTCACCTTTAAAATCATCCTGCAGAATGACCCTTTTTTTTTTTCTTTTTTTCTTTTTTCTTTTTTTTTTCTGTTTTTTAAATCTATCTTTAGATTGGCTCCCCCCACTCTATTGTCCTCTTTGAGGTTGATAAGATTATCTTTTAAATATAATGCTGCATTTCTTGATTGATATTTCCCTCAGCAAGGTCATATTTTGACTTTGGCATAGGAATTTAAAGTCTACTCAATACTACAGTCAGCACTGTCATTGTTGCTATGATTTCTACAGGAAAGACAGGCATTGAAAGATAGCCCATCGATAACATGTGATGTGGAAATTCTGCTCAGCTCTTGGTAGAGAGTTCTGCACTTCTGGTGTACTGGTTGGCATGGATTTGGGCTCAGCAGATCACTGCTAATTGCTACCAGGAAAAGGAGAAAAAAAAAAAAAAAGAAGCAGAATTCTTGCTTTGTTCAAGAAAAGTCACCTTGTTCTTAAATGTGCCATTTCTTACCATAAGGTGGTGGGTGCATAGCAATTCTGGATAAAATTGGTATCTCTTTGCACTTTGATAGGATATGCCTGTACTGCAGGCTTTGCTGGACAGGGTCAGAGCTCTTTGGTTGTTGTCATGGATGGAGATGCTCCTTTACTTCACATGTTAAAAAAGTCCAGCTGAATGAGGAGAGGGAAAGGAAATATCTAAATCCTAATACTGCTTTTGTGTTTAATTCTAAATATGAAGATTTTAATTTGTATAGAATTGTTGCTATGTGAGCTGGGACGTAGCCTCAAAGACACTTGAC